TTCTAAAGACTCAATCCATGTGGTCTGTTGATTATAGAAAGACAACCATCACTGTTCCTTCTCATCCATTTTATGTCAACGACCTGATGTAAGACATTTGACATTTTTCTGGCCAGAACCTTAGAAATGAGTTTATGCAGGCTGCCCACAAGACTGATTGGCCAAAAGTGACTGATGTTTTTTGCACCGTCCTTTTTTGGGATAAGAACAATAAATGTGGTGTTTAATGACTTGACAAATGATTCTGATATGTGAAATTCTCGGAACATATTAATGACATCATCCTTAATTAAAGGCCAGAACACCTTGTAAAACCCATTGAAACCATTTGCTTGGGAAGATGCATGCCCCCCCACCCCCCAAGAATTTTGTTCTTTACTTGGGAAGTGACTAAGGAGCGTATTCTGACTCTTGACAACCTAATGAGAAGAGGGAGAACTATGGTGAACAGATGCTTCATTTGCAAGGGCACCGCTAAACCTTACAATCACTTATTGCTTTGGTGTCCTTTTTTTTTATAGCCTTTGGACCCTCGTTTTCAGTCTCATGGGTATCAATTGGGTAATGGCGGGTTCGGGGGACAATGAATTATTGGCTTGGGAGGGCTAACCAACAACAGTAGATCGGCCTGTCTTATCCCTTTGTCCATCTTTTGGATTATTTAGAAAGAAAGAAACAATAGAACTTTTGAAGGGTGGGAGGATACTTTTCTGAATCTTAAAGATAAATGGTTACATTATTTTGGCTTCATTTTTTTAGGACACAATATATACAGTTTAGATGGTTTTTGAACAGTTGTAGATATACTTATTGACATGGAAATTTTTGTATATAGGTAACATTCCTTTGGTGCCATTACTTAATATACGCATTATACTTTTTATCTAAAAAAAATTATTGAAACCATTTGAGCCTGGGACCTTGCCAGTTGCCCCCCCTTACAACTCATAAGACCTTTATAAATCTTGTCCTCTAAGAAAACTTCCTCTAAGTACACAAGGTCTTGCTTTCCCTACATGTTTAATTCTAACCATCTAAAGTAGGTCTCCAAGGTGCATCTTTAGTGTACAACCCTCCAAAATAGGATTTAACCCTCTCTCTCAAAACTTTCGTGACCCCTCACAACTTGGCCATTAACTTCCAATTCTTTCACATAATTGCATCTTCTATGGTGGTTTGCTATTTTGTGAAATTTTTTTGTATTTTTATTCCCTTCCTTTATGCACCTGACTCTCGATTTTTGTCTCCAAGAAATCTCTTCCATTTGAATCGAACCTGTTAGCTCAAGCCAAATTCCTTCTCTTTTTTCAAAATCCTTTATTGGTATACCACATTCCCCTTCTAAGTTATCAAGCCTTTCTAATTCATGGAGAAATGCTTCTCTCTTATGATCATTTGCTCTCAACTCATCCTTCTATTATTTATTCTTATCTTTCATAGTTGATAGTTAGCAAGGTTTAGCTAGCATATCCTCTATTTCTATATCTTCCAAGAGACTTTGATTTGTCATGGAAACCTGAGACTTTAGCCATTTACATTTGAGTTTAAATGGACAAATGCCTTGTTTAATAATATTTGATCCCAAATTGATATAAGGCCCTACACCTGAACTGAAAAGATGCCAAATCTAAACACCGATCAATCATGGAGAAACTGGGTTAGTCTCTATGATTTAATCATGTTCACCTAGTCCTTGAAAGTGGAAGATGCACAAGTTTCAATGGAGAAAATTTCCCCTGAATGTTCAAGCCTCTTAAGGACCATATTGAAATGAGAACAATAACCCAATGCACCTCCTCCTGCATTCCCCAAAATCTTGCTAGAACATCCCTCCCATCTCCTTTGTCGTACCTCCGATGAAAACCTAATAACTTCCATTCGTCTTGCGTTCAAACATGCATGAAATTGAGAATTCACTCCTAAAACTATCTACAATCTTCAACATATTCTCATTCTGTAATACAACTACATCCCCTACAGCCCCATTTGCTGGTAAGTCTCTCAATCCCACCTTTCAAACTTTCCAAATGGTTTCCAACCTTTGGTCGGAGAAAGACTCTAATTTCTCTTTTGGAAGACTTATCACATCCTGTTTCCATCCCGACATGCGCCCTTTTGTTACCACCTCCCTCTGCTTTGGATGATTCAAGCCTTTCAAATTCCATGAGATTATTTTACCTAATGTAATACGGTATTGATACTTGCTTTATCCTATCAATCTCTCCCTTGTTGTTCTTATCATATTTAATAGATGAGTGAAGTCTTCTCAACTCTCTTTCCTTGTCTACCCCATATTTTTCTTGTTTGCTAACTTTTATTTTTTATTTTTTGATAGTCTTTTCCCCTCTTTTGCTTTTAATTACTCTAAAGAGATTAATTACTTGCTCCTCAATACTCTTGAAACTGACCCCTCACCAGCTTACTAATCGTCTGAATATTGTTGAATACCCACATGGAATTTTCGTCATACGTTAGACTCTCATCCTCCTCTCTCTTTGAGTGTCACTGTCAAAATACAATTTGTTTGTTCCTCTGGCCCTCTTGTCCACTCTTCTGCGAACTCGTCTTTGTGAGCAATGACCAGTGACAAAACTACCTCTCACTCTTTTTTCTTTCTCTTTCTTCTTCATTTCGTTCGAACCTCCACCCATGGACTATTCAACTGCTTCTTCCGCATTATCTGCTAAGTATTAGGACTGCACTCTGCAACATCTCTGTTTCTAAAGAAGAGGGCCGAGCTGGATACAATAGTCACACGTAAGTCTTTCTACTTTACCTCATAAATAACCCCAATGTGACAAAATTTCAGATTGCCAAGGCATTTTGGAAAGTTATAGTTCCTTTGAAAGTGAAGGTATTCTTATAGACTGTTATCGATCGGAGACTCAATGCCAATGACTTTGCTTCTAATCTGTTGCCTCACCGTGCTTTGCTCCCTGATGTATGCATTATGTGCTTCAGAAATGTGAGAATCACTCTTACTTATTCCTGCATTGCTTTGTGGTTTGGCGAATCTGAAGTGATATTATGAAGAAATTTGCCCTTAGCTGAGTGGTAACCCTTACTGTTTTGATAGTTTTGTGAAATTCTCTACATAAGGGGTTGGCTTGGAAAAAGAGGTTAAACTGCTTCAGCAAGGTGCTATTTTTGCTGGACTCTAGTATATGGTTAGGAAAGAATAAGCAGATTTTCCAAGATCGTTTGGTGTCTTCTTTTGAGTTTAGGGAAAAGGTTTCTTTTGTGGCCTCTCTTTGGGCATAAGCACATGGCTACTTCCCGGAGAATACTTTTTGTGGGAGATCCTTCGCTATTGGGACGACATCACTTGATCAAGAGGCTAGTGGGATGGAAGAGAAATTTTTTATTAAGAGGAGGAAGGCTTACCTTGATCAAGAGCACCTTAGCTAACTTACCAATGTACTATCTTTCTGTTTTGACAATTCCAGCTAACATAATGACAAAAATTGAAAGGATGCAATGTAAATTCCTTTGGAGTGACTAAGAGGGGAATAGAAAATATCATTTAGTGAAATGGGATGACATGAAGAAATCTATCTATGGAGGGGGAGGGGGGGGTCTTGGTTTTAGATCAATTGTGGAAATGAATTATGCACTTCATGGTAAATGGCTGTGGAGGTTTCTTGATGAGGAAGGGAAATTATGGAAGAGGGTGTTGGAGGCGAGATGGGGTGATTGGGAGAGAGATGGGGGGAGAAGAGGGAGGTATAAACCGCATGTGGTGAGCTTGTGGAAGAAAACCCGTGGGGGCAGTAGCAGGTTTTTTGAGTGTATTGGGTTGCAGGTGGGTAATGGTGGGGGCATCCATTTTTGGCAAGATGAGTGGATAGGAGACTTCAAGCTAAAAGACAGGCTTCCAAGAGTATATGCTATTGCCTGTGATAGGGATATCTTGGTGGAGAAGGTGTTTGGGATTGAAGGAGCGGCAACGGATGGAGTGTGCGGGTAAAAAATAAATTGAAGGATTGGGAAGTGGATGAATACAATAACTTGCTTCTATGTGAATAATCGGGTCCCAATAGCTTTTATCTTTGAATTTAGCACCTAAAGGTGCACCAAGATTAGTAATGGGGAGATGATATAATTTACAGCCCAAAAAAACGGAAAAGTATATCGACCGAAGAGTTGCCCATAAATTGGAAGAAGAGACTTTTATCCAAGGGAGGCAGACT